ACGTCCCTCCCCTCCCCTCCCCTCCCCTCCCCTCCCCTCCCCTCCCCTCCCCTCCCCTCCCCTCCCCTCCCCTCCCCTCCCCTTCCCCTTCCCTCCTCCTCCCTCCCCGCAGCTGACCTTCCCTTCCTACAGGGCGCCAACTCTTCATCAGACTGTCTCTGCATCCAAGGCTACCAGCAGCTGTCCAGCGGCTGCACCGCCTGCCCCATCGCGCACTTCAAGGCATCGGTCGGCTCCTCTCCTTGCGAACGATGCCCGGCCGGCTCCGTCAGCGTCTCTACAGCAAGCACTTCCTGCACTCTCTGCCCCTCCGGGACTTTCACTGGGTCAGGGGCAAACCTCAAAGACAACGTCAACTGTTTCCCCTGCGCCGAGGGGACCTTCGCTGCTAACGCTGTACGTCCAGCCCTCTAGTCCTCCCCGCTCTTCCCTCCTCTTGAATCTATTCTCTTGTCCTATCCCTCCCCTCCTCTTGTGCCAGTTCTTCCGTTCCTTCCGCGCTTACTTCATTTGGCATCCTCGCTGATATCCCTTCCACCTTCAGCTTAACTCCCGACCCCCCACCCTCTCCTCTCCTCTCCTCTCCTCTCCTCTCCTCTCCTCTCCTCTCCTCTCCTCTCCTCTCCTTACTCCACCACAGGGCACCTCGGTCTGTACCGCTTGCTCCGCAGGCTCCTTTTCCCCCTCCACGGGAGCCTCGAGCTGCATAGCATGCGACCCAGGCACATACTCCGCTCAAGGCTCCGTCAACTGCCTCTACTGCAGCCCTGGAACCTTTTCGGCCGGCAACGCCGCCTCCTGCTCCTCGTGCGATGCTGGCAAGTACTCGGGAACACGAGCCCCTGCCTGCTCAGCTTGTCCCCCCGGCACCTACCAGTCGAGCACAGGAGCGAGTCGCTGCGAGTACTGCGGGGAGGGAACGTCGGCAGGGGTGCAGGGCAAGACAGCGTGCGACGCCTGCCAGGCCGGGAAGTACTCGGAGCTGCTGGACGGGCTCAGGACTGCGTGCAAGAACTGCGTGCCGGGGACGTTCAGTGTGCAGGCGAAGGATGTTTGCGTAGTGTGCCCGTTCGCCTCCTACCAGAGCACCGCTGGGTCTACCTTTTGCCGCAGCTGCCAGGCCAACTCAAACACCTCCTCTCGGGGAGCTAGCAGCTTCGACCGGTGCGTCTGCCTGGCAGGGACGCAGGCGGCGGACGGGTCCTGCTTCCTCGGGCTGTGGAAGGCAGGGGTGTTCTCAGTAGATGAAAGCTCTATCTCCTCCCCTTGGGTCAAAGTCTATTCGCAGCCCTACAAGACTGTGACGCTGTCGACTGACTTGACTTCCGCATGCACCAACATCGGCAAGTATCTCATGCTGGTCGGGTTCAAGGGTGCGACGTCGAGCACGGTTGTGGGAGCAGCGGGAACGATCAGGGACTTTGCAGTGACGGGGGAGAAGCTGACGACGAAGATGCTGATGAGGACGACGGACTCGACACGATCCTTCACAATGACGTGAGATGGTACTTCACCTTCAGCAGCTTCGGGTTCACCAGCACCACGTACCCCAACGTCTCCCTCCAGATTCAGGTTGATCCTCCTCCTCCTCCTCCACCTCCTCCTCCTCCGCCCCCCTCCTCCTCCTCCTCCACCACCACCACCACCACCACCTCCTCCTCCTCCTCCCTTTTCGTGTTCTCCCTCCCTTTCGCGTCCTCCTCTCCACTTCCTCTCACGGGCATAGCTCTCTTTCTGTCCTGATCGACTACTTCAGGACATCGACAACGACGGCTGTCAGTACAGGATGGGGTAGGAACTTTCCCCTCCTCTCCTCCCCCTCCTTTCCGCTCCCCTCCCCTCCCCTTCCATTCGTCTGACTTCTTTCAGCTGGGATCTCTCCGGTTCAGGAGGCTACCGCGCAGGCTGCACCTGCAGCAGGTCACCTTCCCTCCTCTCCGGCTTGAACCTTACCCCAGCTCTTTCCCAGCTGCACAAACAAGGCGGATCTGTCAACTTCAAGCGACTTCATCAAGTTGATCTACTGCGCGTGACAGGAGAGTGAGGCAAGTTTGCGGGCCCTGGCCCAGCTACCGCAGCTGGGGCCAGCCCGAGTTGGGCCCGAACTCGAGGAGGAGGGCAAGGGCAGGAAAATCTTTTTTGTTATTACTAGGAATGGTACAGAGGCTGTCAAATTACAAAAAAATAGACGTGCGATCAAAGTTTTGGGCCGACGTAGCCCATGGAGGGGACAGCGAAGTTGCCCGACTGCCTCATCAGCTGTAGGATCTGCTGATCATGCATGAGGAGGAGGAGGAGGAGGAGGAGGAGGAGAAGCAGCAGCAGCAGCAGGGAGGAGGAGAAGAATAAGCATACGAGCATGAGGGATGACGCAAGGGCTTATGTGGTAGAGCAGAGGGTAGAAGGAGAGGAGGGAAAGGGGTCGAGAGAGTTGAAGGAAATAGAGGAGGGCGACCTGCGCTGCTGCTCCAGAGGCCTTGGAAAACTTGCCCTGCAGCAAGAATGAGGGCCTGCTGGGGGAGAAGCGAGTATATAGCAGGAGGTTGGAGCAGCAATATGGAGAAGGAGGAGGAGGAGGAGGAGGAGGAGGAGGAGGAAACGGAGAAGGAGACGGAGAAGGAGGAGGAGGAGGCTGAAGCTCTTGCCTTGAGCTTCTGGGGTGAAGACTTTGGGGGGGTGTAGGTGGGGTCACTTCCAATGAGCTGAGAACACTGATAAGCTTCTTCCTCCTGGGCCTCTTCCCCTTTCCTCTTCCTTCAGCTTCCCTCCACCCTCCCCTCCAGCTCCTCTCCTTCCATTTAGCCTTCCAAACATCCTCCCATCCACCACAACCACGCACTCTCCTCCCCTTCCCAGCACACCTTAGCAGCAAGAGCCTTGTCCTTGGCAAGCAGCGATTTCCCCTCCTCCTTCACCTGCGCGCTGGGTCAGGAGCCTCCCATTCGGTCTCAGGGCCCCGCACCCGGCGGTTGAAGCTGACGGTGTTGAACTTGCTTGCCTTGAGCCCCTTGGACCCGCTGGGCTGGTGGAGCTTCTTCGACAGGGCTCTATGGAGAGCAGCCTGAGGGCCGTTAGAACAGGGTCGAGCGCTGCTTTCCCTGCTCACCTTCTCCTTGATGACTCCGCCGTTCGCCGACGAGCCCTTGCTGCACATGCGAGTAAGAGGATGGATCCCCAACGGGAGGAGCGCGGGAGGAACAGCAGGAGCAGGAGCAGGAGCAGGAGGAGATTGGAACCGGATGTTGTTTTGTTTGATCTTGAGGCTGCACAAGAGGGTCAGGCACGAAAGTGTCACAGACAAGCTCGACCGGTTCAAAGACGCCTCCTTCTGCTGTTGGCGAGAGACCTGCCATCAGCGATGATCAGAGCAGGGGAAGAGCAACCCATAGCTCAAGAGCAGGCAGAAAGAGAGCAAGATCGTCTACAACAAAAGCAGATAGAGGACAATAACGTCTACAACAGAAGCAGATAGAGGACAATAACGTCTACAACAGAAGCAGAAAGAGGACAAAAACGTCTACAACAGAAGCCCATCCCTTTCATTCGTCCTTGTGGACTACTCACCGCAGCAAGAGTCGACTTGTGGCCGGCTCGCTTGGAGCAGTCGGCGTAGTAAGTCTTCACCTTGGTCCCATCAGGCGCTACCGACTCTTCCTCCATTGGCTCGCATTCTGCCGGCATCCCATGGCTGATCTCCCACTGCTCCCACTCAGACTCTGTGACGGGATAGTCCGGGAATTCCCAGGGTTCTGAAATCACACAGTGAGCTGTCCTCCCCTCCCGCCCCTGCCCCTGCCCCTGCTCCCACTTCAGCGTACTGCTGACGTTGACTGTATCTTCATCTTCTACTCCACTACTAGTTCTATATCACCACTCCTCGTCAAGGCCCTCGACTCTGTCGTCGTGCGCGACACAACAGCAACAGCACGTGCTCTTATCTCCTCCCCACCTCCTCTCCATCGTCATCACCAGAGCTTGTGATGTTAGTCGAGTTCTCTGCGAGCACAACCCTGTCGTACCTGTTCAAGTGGTCAGGCTCAAGACTTGTTCGTCTCTGCCAATAGAAGCAACTCACCAGCTCCTGTCCATGGTCGCACCCAATGCTATGGTGGCAATAAGCACCAGGATACCACACACAACGGACTGCAGATGATGGTGAACATCAAATGCAGAGGAACGAAGACCAAACCTTGAAGACGACATCGATCCGTCTGGAGTTTGATCTGCAAGAATACAGCACGTGAGCTAAGGCATAGAACGGAGACTACGGGCGCATCGTATCTCCCTATTGACATGGGGAGAAGGTGCTAGGGCTGCACGAAATGAAACATTGAGCATCGGCATTGCACACGGGCGGCACAGGAAGCAGCAGAGCAATGATTCGCGTGGCTCAAAGTTCCAGTCTCCCTCCTCCCTCCTCCCTCCTCCCTCCGCTCACCTTGTCAAAGCGCCATAGCCGTCCGCCATCGCCCGAAATATCGATGACCCCACGGATGCTTATTCCGCGACGTACCCCACAATCTGGTACCCCACATTTTCTTTTCAAAAATGAGTGAAATGTCTGGGTAGGGGTGGTGTACCCCCACCCTCGGCAATGGAGCTGAAGGAACATTTCGTACCAACAATGGATCTGGAATATCTTTAAGGTAATTGTATTGATTTGCTGTTTGAAAATACTTTAGCTAATCAAAATATGACTCCTCCAAACAGGTGGAATCACCCCCACCCCTATGTCCAGAGGTAAAAAGTACCCCCTTTTGTGAAATTCTAGATTACCCCACCCCCCCTCCACACATTCTCGGGACCCTTGCCATACACAGCACCGGAAATAGCTCAAGGCGGCATCATGGAGGGCAGGAAGGGGCAGGTCGCGGTGGAGAGCATGGGCCTGGCATGGGGAGAGCGCGGCTCCTCCTTCACCATGAAGCGAAGCAGGTGATGAAGATTCATTTTACTGATGACAGTACTAGCGAGTTGTCTTGTGGGAGGAGTTCTTATCGAGGAAGATGCAACAATGTACACCTGTGCTGGTTTCAGTAGTGGCGTTTGGGTGGGGGCTTGTAACAATGTGATTCTTTGCGGTTTCATGCGAGCAGAAATTTGTGACGATACTTGTTCAAATTCAGTTTGTTGTGATGTCGTGATAGAGAGTCGGTCCTGGAAGTGTGAAATACCCATGTGTGGGTGAAGGCCCCATGAAGCAACAGCTGATTTTGATTGTAACCTTGTTTCACAAAGATTGAAACATAATCAAACTTCACATATGCTTTTGTGTTTGATATTATGTGTTGAATGATAGAGAGAGAGAGTCGTAAGCTAAGTGTGCGGTCTGTTTGCTGCTGGGTTCTAGCAAGCAAACGCCTTTGCACATCACCTGTGAGAAGCTATAGACTTCTCTAAGGCTTTTTGTATGCATGTTATCATCTGATACACACAATGAAGTTGCATCTTGCCTCCATGACATCTTTGTTCCGTTGTGCCGTGGTTTGCTGTCGTCTTTGTGCTGAACCTCCCCCGCAGCTCCAATTGGAATGCCAAGGTCGTCGGTGTGCTGGGTGTTGCAGCAGTGGCTCTTCTGTTGCTCACCGGAGTATCGAAGCAGCATGAAGCAAAGGAACCTGGAAGGGTACGCACTGCCGTCAGAGTTGTGCGCTCCTTGCTCACTTGCTCTTGATCTGCAGTCCGGGCTGTCTGTTTCCCAGATCTTGTACGAGGCCGACAATGCTGGAATGAACGGGGGAACTTCTGGCATCGCTTCCAGCGTAAGTGCTCGATGTCGATTTTTGAAGCATGATCCCGATCATGTCTTCTGGTGATAACACGATGCTGCAGAAGGGAGATGCCTCGGACTTCATGAACTCAGCGGATCTCGGGGACTACGTTGATGCTATCATCGGACCTTCGCCATCGGGGGTGAGCTGGTGGGCATGGTGGGCGTGTTTGAGCTCAAGTACTTTTTCTACAGCTGACCGATGGAGGATTCAAGAAGAGAGGTAGTATCGCTGTGTCCAAGATCGATGCTTCTGGATTCTACTACCTCAACATCCAAGGAGAAGCTGGTCATGCCCTGAAGACCATACTCCAGGTTTGTGCTCTTGATTACCGTCGTCTCCTCCAAACCCCTCTGCAATGTCTTCTGCTTGATAGCTTCCTCCCATTCGTTGCCTCTTACCCTGTGCTATCTCCCCATCATTCTTCTGCTGAAGCTTGTCCTGCAACCTCCTCGCCCTCCTCCTCTCTCTCCGTCCTACAACCATCTACTGGCCTGCTCCTCACGGTCGTGACAGGGTTCGGATGGTTATCATCGGCACTGGAAGGGATATGGGCAGATCTATACTGGTCCCATCCATGAGGGCAACTACGGCGGCAAGGACTATCTGCAGATTCAGGACCTCGTGACGGGAGAGGTGGAATACTTCCGTTTCCGCTTCACCTGAAGGAGGAGGACGCGCCGCTGGAGCGTCAGGACCTGGTCATGTGGCAGAATCCATTATGATGATGATGATAGAGATCTTGAGATGTTATTGTGTACAAATACAGGGTGGTTGACCGAACCTAGCTCCCTCGGGATGACTTGACTACTCTAGGGATGGCCCGGTAGATCAGTCTCAGCCTGCCGATGTTGCTCCATAGCTCCTGCGACATGCGGTCAACACCAACAACCTTCCCGTCCTCTGCCTCCGGGAAAGTACCGGGAAGAGATCGCACAGCATGACGATCGCCTCCGAACCCATCTCAGCCACCTGTTCGCGCTCTCAGCTGCAGCTGAAGCAACATCTCTCTCACCTTGCTCTCCTCCACCGCGTACGCCTCCATCGCGCGCAGTCCTCTGCAGACAAAGGTCACCTTGTCTCATAGAGCGAACATGAGGACAGGGGGTAAGAGAGTACGTGGCGGGGAGATTGGAGATCAGGGGGGCAAAGAAAAACATCGCAGGGCAGTGCAGGGGAGGAAAGAGAGAGGAGAGGAGGAGAGAAGAGGGAGAGGAGGGGAGGGGGGAAGCAAAGGAGAGGAGAAGGAGAGGGTGAGGAGATGAAAACGGGAGGAGAGGAGGTGGGAAAAGAGTGGAGAGGAAAGGGAGCAAGAACTTCTGCGTCCGTAAAAGAAGGCAAGGGAACGAGAACAACTTCGACCTGTCAGGAGCACAAAAACCAGCGACGCCGAAGGCATGCGGGGGAGTCAAGCAGCGAGTCTGGCAGCCCTTGGAACCCCCCACGAGGACGCGCACTGATCCCGATGAGACGATATAGAGCTTCGAGATAGAGCCCTCCGCCTTCATGACCTGCTCACCTGCTCTGAACGTCTTCCAGGTCAACCTTGAGAGGGCTTCAGCTACCACCATGGGGGGCGCGTTCTCCAGCCAAGGCTGCAAAGAGAGGGCACGGACGAAGTGGTCCTCCAACTTCAACCTGCCTTGTACGTAGCGGACGGGGTCTTGCATGAGTTTCTCAGCGACTTCGAAGGACTGGATCATGGACTTGAGGTTGCTGCCAACGGGAAGAACTTTCACGATGGCGGCTTGCATTCTATCCCTCTCGTGCCGCAGCATGTCCTCATTCCACTTCTTTACCCTCTGCGAGCAGCAGGGCGAACCGAGTCAGGTCAAGAGCAAGAAAGATAACCTCTCCTCCTCGCTACCTCGCTTCCTTCCGGCGAGCCCGTGATGGACGGGATTTCCCGCTGTTTCAGCGCACAGGGGTGGTAATCCCCGCTGATGACCATCCTCATGGTAGTCGACGCCTTCTTGATCCTCGCTGACCCCACGTTGCCTAGTTGGACCCTGAGAGAGTTGGCGATGGCGGGGAACTCAGATGCGACCTCGAAGAAGCTGGGAGCAAGGTCAGCAGCATCTTCCCTCCCTCCCTCAGATCGCGCTCTCACCTGTCAACGTGGAGCTCCAACAGCTCGCAGTCTCCCGCCGCCAGCACATCGGCTGTTCGCTTCTCGCACAACATCATCCCCACCTCCCCGAAGAAACAACCTGGCTCCAACGTGTCTACCACTTTCTTCTCAATCTCCACTCGCACTGACCCTGAGTTGACAAAGTACATGCTTTTCCCGTCATCGCCTGATGGTGAAACAAGGGAAATTGTCAACTCTCTCAATCATTCTCATCACTGAAAGGAACTCGCCTGCTCTGAAGACAACGTCGGAGTCCTTGAAGGAGACCGGCTGCAGCCTCTTGGCAACGGCTTGGAGCCCCTCAAGGTTGCATCCTCTGAACAATCTCTTCGGCAGAAGCCATGTCCCCGACCACCCGAAGTCATTGTCGTCGCAGTTGACGCAGAGCTTCTCCACACTCTCCTTGAGACCTTCCGAGGTCGGCATGCTGTCTGAAGCTCGTCAACAGCAAGATGTGCGTTGGCAGCAACCCAGTCTCGGAGCAAAGCAGCTGAAAATCAGCGCGGGTTCTAGAACAAAAACGAGGAGCTATCCTCTCTCAGACGTGACTCTCGCCTACCAGTCTGTGCTCAGACCGTCTCAGCCAAGCAGTAGAGTGGGCGGCAGTGACCGGGGAGGAACTTCCGGGGCTGCTGGAGCAGTCACGTTAGAGATGGCGGTAGGGTAGTACGAGCCTCGGAGGAAGCTGCCGCAGTGCTGAACTGAGCAGTAGAGTGGGCCGCGCGGTAGTACAGTAGACTCTCCGATGTCGGTAGTACGAGGAAGGCAGTAGAGATGTCCGATCGGTAGTACGAGGAAGGCTGTTGAAGCAGTAGAGTGGGCGGTAGTATAGTAGAGATGTCGGTAGTACGAGGAAGTGCTCCTGGTAGTAACGGTGTGACCGGCGGTGTGCCTGTGCCACCGTGTGTAATAATATATTGGAGGAGTTATGGTTTCCTAATTTATAGTAACGGCCACAGCAAGTTTGTGTAACGGATATGTAACGGATAAAGTGGTACGTAGCTTCTCTCACAACACCGGTGGTGGTCAAAATATATTGGAAGGAGGGGTGGGGGGTTGCCAAAAGCAGATACGATCCAAAAACTATTGTACAAATGACATACAATGGTAATAAAAGACCCCCTGTGGGGTAGGGTAGTCTGGTTGGAGGGTAGAATTTAGGATGAAAGGTGGGGTAGTGGTGGTATGAGGTACAACTGCAGGGATGAGTCCCCAGAATGGCGGCAGCAAAGAAAAATGACCGTGAAAACCGAAGGAAGGCGGGAGGGGAGGAGAGATGGAGGAGGAACGGTTTGAGGATGTGGGGGAGCAAAGATGGAGAACACCAGGGGAAAGATGAAGCAGCATGGTAAGAAGTGAAGGAACGAATAGACAAGCAGCGACCGTAATCGGTCAGGGCGTTTCATTTCACAAGATCAAGCGGGAGTTGAGAGAGAAGGAGCTACAGAGGGAAATTTACACAAAAGGGTATAAGAGGAACGAGAGAAGAGTGAAGTTGAACAAGGAGGAAGCGGTCTTTACGAGGGAGGGAGGGGACAGTGACGAGTTGCAAGATGAGGTGCAAAAAGGGAAGTGGAAATGAGGTAGGCGAATTGATGGCAGGCAGTAACTATTAGCAATCACAAACAAAAACGAATGATAAGTCCAATTTTTTCGTCTTGGAAGAAAGATGATTAAGCACAAAGAAATGGAGAAGGAGGAGGAGGAGACGGTAAGAACAGGAGATGTCGACATTGGAATGCAATAAGAGAAGAGAACAGAACAGTGCAGAGCAGAGCAGAGCAGAGCAGGGCAGGGCAGAGCAGAGCAGAGAACAAAATATTGTCAAGAATTCCACTTGATGATGCTGACAATGTCTTTAGCTAATAGCTCATTTCTCGTACCCGCGGGATATTAGAAAAGTCGAAATTTGCTCGCACCAGGTAGAAAGTCAAGATACCGTTGAAAAGCTATCATTACTGATTCGACCAATGCAGTGAAGAGGTTGATGTGCTAAAAATACTATCTCGACAGCTCGGACTCAATATTTTACTTGCTGTACCCGAATCACCGACATTCTCCACCATGGACGCGTTAGTTAGGCAGAAGTCTTCACAAGTCCTCATGGATCAGATGGTAGACGTGCAGACAAAGGACCACATGGATCATACGTAAGTGATCACTTCCTTATATAATACTTCGCGCTCACAGCTAAGATGCATCTTTAGATTTGCTGGAATCATGTTCGACGTGAGGGTTCGAGACCTTCCTTTTGAGTACATCGAAATCTCTTCCATCTGGATCAGAGGGAATCTCGGCCCAATTACGATCTGGAGCACTAGCGGAGGGTTTGAGGGGAAGCACGAAAATTGCTCACAGGTGCTGTATTTGTTGGATTTTCAAAAGGTAGGAAAGCAAAGATGTCAGCCCTTACTCGTCATTTTGCAGTGGCAACGACACTACAGCAATATTCATATGCCCAGTATGCTTGAACTGCAAGAAATGCAACTAGATGTGCCAATCAGGTTCAGCCAAGCCGAGACGAAAGGCGAGCTGAGAGAATCTTTTCTAAGAGGAATACTGATCGTTAGATGGTCCAGGTATCTATATTCATGCTGCCGAAATGGGAGATGAGCAGATCGTCTACGACAACAAGAGAGGAGATATCACCTACTCTGTGATTAGTTTGCGTTCAGTTTTGCAAGTTTGATGGGCTCATAGGACTCTTACCTGGACATCCTGCCTGGCATTGCGCACCTTGCCGATGTTCCTTTCTCTGGAGAAAATCAAGATATTGTGATGCCCTGAACTGCGCAGGGCCATATACTGACCTGTCTCTGCCTGTTGTCTTGTTGTAGTTTTATGGATGGTGGGGCCCTCCCTGGAGAGACAGGCGGGAGTTTGTTGGCAGGTGAGAGGCCTGGCAGAGGCTCTTGCAGACAGTGAATGAAGATTGGACAGACTGCAATACGGCATCAAATGGTTGAGATGGAACCCTGAGGTCCATTGCCATTTCCCCGCAATTTTTAGAGAGTGAGTACCCATCGAGCTGACGTGCTGGCCCTTGTGGTGAATTCGTTCCTCCAGGATGATATGGACCCTGCTCATGTCTCGCCACCCTCGATCTCGCTGCAGGTCAAACCGAAAATGGTGTTTGAAATATCCAAGTTTGACGTATTCCTATCTGCTCCAGTATCCTTTACTGGCTCGATCATGACCAGCTCCTTTACGTGATCAATTGTGTGAATTGGTGGGAGAATTCGCAGCTGCTCGAACAAATTGCTGTGAGAAGCTTCTCAGTCTTGACGCCTGCGGCTGACGCTCATTACAGAATCCAGCCGGAGAACAAAAAAGAGTCAACAAGAGATTTGGTGACAAATGCAGAGCGATCTATCGGTAGAGTTGTAATGCTGTTGATATTTAGTCTAATTTTCTGATTCAGATGGTTTTCAAAGAGTTTGTCTTCTTAGCTGACATGGCTGAACTTCAAGATCGGACAGCAGCCGACCATCAGCTGACTCGAGTCGTGACGGTCCGATCACCGGTCACCGCGCGCCCGGCCCGTACCCCGGTGACTGAGGGCATCGCCGGGGCCGATCGGATGATTTTGAGTGTTAGTAGCAACAGTGGAAAGTGTACTATATTACGTGACTAAGTTACTGCTTGCCTAAACCCGGCGTTGAACTATGATCCGATCATCGGATCCCATCCCGTCCGATCGGATCCCCGCCGGTATCCTGATCGGACTGCCGGGAGAGTCACTAGTAGTCCGGCGGGACCGTACTGCCGGCCGCGGCGGGCCGCCGCCGCCGGCAGCAGCGGCCCGGCGGCGGGCCCGGTGACTCGGGGTCCCTCATGATCGGAAAGTCGGCCCGTCCGGGCCGCGCGCCGGCCGCGCGGCCGGGCCCGCCCGGCACTGCGGCATGATAGTTCAAGTTTGCCGAACTTGCTTGGAACTTCGGGACTCTTGAATGCCGGGCCCGGTACCGGGTCGACTAGCTTGGGGCCCGGCAGGAACTTGGGAATACGGTCAGGTGGGCCGCTTTTAAAATCATGCTAGCAAGAGATTTATCGACGCCAATACCAGAGTCGATTTGATGTAACATTTCTTCGTAGAAAATAAAACTATAAAAATAAATTAAAAATAATATAATATCTTAAATAGTACTCATGTGCCACACTGTTGAAGCAGCGTCGGTACAAATTCATTCCTGCTCCGTACTGTCCTTCGAGAAGATTGTAGAGACATAAAACTAGTGGTAGCAGCTTTTTAAGATTAAATATTCCCGCAGGGGCATGCCTCGGGAGCATGGCGGCGAGCGAATTAAATGCGTGCGAGGGGAGGTGGAGAGGGAGGACGAGGTGGAGGGAGGGAGGGAGGGAGGGAGAGGAGGGAGAGAAGGGAGAGGAGGGAGGGAGGGAAGTATAACGCGAGAAGGAGAAAGAAGGGCAAAAGTATGAGAAGCTGGATCATTGATACTGCGTGAGGACGGGGGTGTAATAGGGAACAGAAATCGCCATGCACTCATTACGATTCTGATCGTATTTCGAACCAAATGTGACGTGATCTCTTCATCTTTGTGGTTTTTACTCGTGCGTGATACCTCCAGAATTTGTTCTGTCTCATGATATGCTGCAATCTCTGCTCTTTAAGAATCACTCCTACCAGTGCATTCGCTACTATCTGCATGCTAAACTTCTTTGGGCGCGTTGCACATGATCATACTCTCTAGTGCATGAAATTCGTTCCGTTGAGTTGACATGCTGTTATCAGGGCCTTTTGCTATCCGTAAATGACGGAGAGCGAAGACAAGACTTCAGGTGCCAAGGGCGAAACTCAACCCCTGGACGACGGAAAGAAGAAAGAGGCTGAGCTGAGGAATGCATTGCTGAAGAAGATGGGTCAGGATGGCGAAGAGAAAGTAGATGAAGGCAACAAGGAACAGAACGGCGATCGTGAAAGGTTTGTGCTCACGGCGATCTTGGCTTGATCCTGACGTGTGAATGGGCAGGAACGGTGAAAGCATGGACGTCGACAAGCCTTCCCCCAAGAAAAGCTCGGATCCTGATCAGAGCCGGGAGGATGATCGGAGCAATGGAAAGGAAAGGAGCAAAGAGCGCGACAGAGAGAGGGATCGTGATAGAGACCGGGACCGAGATCGAGCGAGGGACAGGGACAGGGACAGGGACAGGGACAGGGACAGGGACAGGGACAGGGACAGGGACAGGGACAGAGATCGGAGTCGTGGTAGGGATAGGCGAGACCGGAACAGGGACAGGGACAGGGACAGGGACAGGGACAGGGACAGGGACAGGGACAGGGACAGGGACAGGGATCGGGATCGAGACAGGGATCGGGATCGAGACAGGGCTCGGGATAGAGATCGAGAAATGAAGGAGAAGGATAAAGATCCAAAAGGAAACGATGGTTAGTCCTCCGCCATAATGTGCATTCAGCTTTTGATGATTTGGGATTTAGACCAGGCAAGTGGGGGAAGCCTGCAGATAAAAGTATGCATTCATATTGATCTTTCACTTCAATGATGGATGCAGCAGCTCAGGCATCAAAGGGTCCAGAGGAGAAGGAGAAGGAGAAGGAGAAGGAGAAGGAGAAGCGGGATACATCCAAGGAGAGGGAAGGAGATAAGGATGACAGGTAAGACAACATTAGAGACTGGTTGTTTCGATCCGTGGATCTGATATCTCTTTCTTGCGAAGAGATGAAGGCCGAGGTGGAAGGCGGGGAAGCAGAGAGCGCCGCAGAAGCCGTGATCGGCGAGACAGAAGTCCGGATCGCAGACGTGAACGAAGCCGGTTGTCGAACCTCTCGATGGCGTTGGGCTCATGTCTGATTGGACGCAGGTCTAGGGATCGCAAGAGGTTCAGGTCGCGAAGTCCTCGCCGTAGGAGGTACGCAGTCACATGCCTTCCTTCGATGTTTGATCAAGTGCCGCAGATCCCGAGACCGTTACTCTCGAAGGTTTGAAAGCGCTGATCGTGCATGCAGACAGTGAGAACTTTGTCAGAAGTGCTTCTCGCAGCAAGAGCCCAAGGAGGAGAAGCAAGAGCCCACGCAAGAAGGCCCCAAGCCCAAAAGAAAAGAGCACAAGCCCCCAAGGCAACGCGGCTTCGATTTTTGTGGAACATTTCGTGATTGTATCCCTAGGTACTCGAAGGAAGATCTACAATTCTGAGGGCAAATTTATGGGATATGAAAATGAGCCAGCGGTTCGACTGCTTTAAACTTGTTTCCCTCTGGTTTTGAAAATGACAGTGCTCGTGATTCAGAAAAAAGAAGAGATCAGTGAGCAAGAAATGGCTGCTGGAGTTGCGGTATTCCACCATCATCAGGAAAGATTCGGTGGCCCTTGACCTTTTCCTGGTCAGGCCCTGCAAGCGCAGAGGAACTTGATCGGTGTCAGCGGTGAATTTTTTCCATTGACTCGTTGGCTGTCACTGAATCTGCTCCAAAGGTTTTCAGTTGATCAGCTCCGATCCCCGCAAGGCGCTGAGAAGGTACTCTTTGTGTGATAAACCATGTGCAGCTAACGTGACATGGCGAAAGAATTCATGTCGGCAACCTCCCCCTGGGCTCTTCTACTACCTTCCTGAAGCACACCATCAACAATGCGATGCAGGTGACGTGGCGGACTCCTCAACCTTCGCCTCTTCCTAGAATGATCGAGTGTTCCCAGGCGGAGAAGATCGCGATCAGTGACAGTGTGGCTGATGTGTACGTCAACTCGTCGACCACAAAAAGGTTTCTCTCGAGCTCCTCCTCGCTCCGGTGCTCACCACCTGCTGACCAGGTTTGCTCTTGTGGAATTTCGAACCGTCGAGGAGTCAAAGTGAGGATCAACGCCCTCCTTGGGTGATCTACTAAGATGCTGCCTCAGTCGCTGCATTGCGCACCTGAATGGAAAGGTCGAGCTCTTCGGACAGCTCCTAGAATTCTCCAGGTCGGGAGAGACAGAAAGAACTTGGTGGGCCCGTCTGACAGCAGACTGTTCAGACCATGGAACGAGAAACATAACATCACTGTCACCACCATCCCGAAGCCAGTGCTGGACTCGACAAATTCTTCACTCTTGCAGCAGTGAGTCGATGCAGTCTTGCGGTGTTTATCATCTGACCCTTGGGCTACAGGCAACAACTGCAGCAGAAGCTCCTGCTCCAAGTGACTTTTGTGATGATACTGAGGTGCCGCGATCTGACCAGGATCATTGTTTAGCAAAAGTTCTTTGCTCAGATTCAGCAGCTGCAGGTCAAGCCTCATTTGTGGCTCACTTGCCTGGCGATTCTTAACTTCTGCTCAGGCTCAACAAGCTCAACTGACTCAGACTGGAGTATGGAATGGTGAAGCTATCTTGCTGCTGACCCTCTTCGCTCATCCCCTCCGTGTGTAGGTATTGGCATCGGAGGGATCAATCCGCTAGCCGCAGCTGCCGCTGCTCAAGCTACGATGCTGGCAAGTCAGGTGAGATTCTGTTGGTGTGAGCAGACTTGTACTGATTCAAAGCTTCACAGACGTCCGGGACGGTCGTAGAGGTTCTTTGCTGTGTGCAAGTCAGCCCATGTTCTGATCGGCTTGACACTGCAGCAAGTGTCTCAGGAAGAGGCGATCAAGTTGACTCACAAGGTGAAGGAGTGGGTGAGGGAGGAGGAGGAGGTTCCTCACAAGTCATGGCAGACAAGGCGCGTCCGTGTGACCAACCTCCCTCGCGATGACGACCTTGTGGACGGGTTGAGGTGTGTCTGCCTCGCCCGCCGCCTCGCTCTGCTCACGTGGGCCTGCCCCAGCACCTTCCTCTCGGCTCTGATGAAGGCGCTGCAGCTGACCGTGAACGAGGTGACCCTCGGAGTTCAACTCCCTCGGGCCTGACTCGGTTTACAGGGAAATCCGATCATCGCAGTCAAACTGGATGGTAGGGCTCGACTGTTGCTTTGCCGATGCTCCTTGTGACTCGTCCAAGACGACAAGGTCGGGGCCCTCGTCGAGTTCCGGACTGTCCGGGAAGCTCAGAACGCCAGACAAGTAGAGGCTCAGCGATGGGACACTGACAGCAACTGACGTTCTTGTCTTGTAGAACCTGGGAGGCCTCAAGTACGGAGATAAATCCTTGCAAGGTACTCTCCATGCTTGTGCCAGCAACTCCTCCTGACAGGCTTTCCTGAAGTGGAATGGCCGGCGGACTACAGTCCTCTGAACGAAGAGCAAGTAGGGCGGGAAGGTCACTGAAGGCTTTTGGGTGACTGGACTTGTCAGATGAAGAGCTGCATCGGCACGGGTATACTCGGGCTGGATGGAGAGCCTGAGTTGGTCAGTGCCAGCGCACTTGTTGCTTCCTGTCTAACTTGGTGGAAGGCTCTGGGAGAAGGAGCGAGCAAGGGAGCGGTATTTCAGACCGAGAGGCGTGTAGGGAATGCTAAAGGGAATGGCAGGAGGGTTCGTCTTCAGCAGCAAGCAAACCCAAGGAGAGCGAGGCGACTAAAGTGTGTGACCTTCTTCGCTGATCTCTTCCTTGGTTGACATCCTCGTGCCCAGGTCTTGGTTCTCTCCAACCTCCTGAGTGAAGCAGAGCTGCAAGACGAGCAGGTGAGCTGCCCTGCTCTGTAGAGGGGGGGGGGGGAAGATACCAACAGCGGGGGAAGGCGGCAGAGGTGGGGACAAGGAGCGTGGGAGGTCTCACTCTAGCGTGTTTCTCGGCAGGAATCACTGGATGTCTTGGAGGACACGCGCGAGAAGTGCGAGCAGGAGTTCGGGGAGGTAACAAGCGATCCAGCCCTCTTCCTGCTCCTCATTTCCCCAGGTCCAATCCGCCGTCGTCATCACCCCACTCATCGGCGGCGGCTCCGACGTCATCGAGGACAAGTGGTACGGCAAGACCATGGTCCACTTCAAAGACGAGAAGGTCAGCGTGCCTCCTCCTCCTACCTCCTGTCCCTCCCCTCATCCGCGTTCAGGTCGCATTCAAGGCTGCCACGTCTCTGCATGGGCTCAAGGCAAGAGCTCTTGTCAGTTTTGCCCTTTTGTGCTAACCAACTTGCAGTTTGACGGCCGGCCAGTTCACTGCAGTTTCATGACGGAGGAAGAATACGCCAAGATCCACGAGGCTGTTGAGGTGGGGGAGTGAGCATGTCCAGGGCTGCAAGGTGAGCTAACGAGCGTCCTGCAGGAGACAAGGAAAAAGCAGGGTGAGGAAGGGAAGTGAGGGATAGGAATTTTGAAGGTTCGCAAGACGATTTTTGAAGGGCTCAGTGTCACGGTCCTGAACTTCGAACCCTACCGGCGGCTAACTTAGCGACTGAGTCTCTCGGTGAGACTCGGCCAGGTGCCGAACATCAAGTCCAGTGGGACGTCTAAGTTGCTCCTGACTCATCGGGTGACTGAGTAAACTGCTGACTGATGCGGCCGTGACGGTGACTGATCGTACCGTCGGCGACTCAGCCTGGGCCGCGCTGTCTCTCCGAGTCAGTGTGGCCAGGCTGACTCCACCTTGCCACCGGGCGGCTGGCCATTGTCTCCCCGCGGCGGGGGTCCGATCATCGGACCGTACGGTTACTGAGGCCCGGCCCAGCGGCCCGAGAGTCTCATGCCCCGTGACGGACCGTGCGACAGTCACGGGGCCCGGTTGAGTACTCCGATTCAAGTACCGTACCGTTACTCAGTCCCGGTGACTCAACGTGCCAGTTGGCAAGTAGATAGGCCGGGCCTGGAGCTGTCACCCGGGGTTCCGGTTAGGCTTTTTACTCCTCTCGTGACCGCATCCCCACCCGCTATCGGACGGGTTGTGATCAGTACCGATTCTGTACCGTACCAGGTTTACTCAACTTGGCACAGTTTAGTTCCAGTACCTTTGTACTGAGGTTTCTACGGTACGTCGGAGTTGGTAACAGTAGTAGTGTACCGGGGATCATGGCAGTCAATCGGAGACCAACTCCACAGTACCAGGTAGAGCAGTACTGCGGTACTAAACTGAGTCTAAGGGACTTGTACCATATCAGTACCAGGTTCCGAAATCCGCTGAGTACTGCATTGGTACAATTAGAGTCTGGTACAGTCGTATCGGAATCTGTACGATCTGAATCGTAAATTGTAGGGCCAATATTGAAAAGATTGTACTCGGATACCGTAATTTTTACTCACTGCGGTAGCACGGGGGGTGGTATGATATAGCGGCTGGGAAAAGGAGGGGTTCAAGGTGGGAAAAGTGGGGGTGGGGTAGCCTAAAGTAGATTGAGAGATGCGCACTTGTGCCTCTGTTTGAGTGGTAAAATGAGGGGGTGGAACCGGTGGGGGGGGACATAAGGAAGTTGCCTTAAAGGGGGTAGGGTCGATGGGGGGTGGGGTCAGCAAGGGTGGGGGTACAGAAAGAGGAACCAGGTAGCTGCTGACTGGCTGCCACGAGGCTGGGGAAGACGAGGGTGGGTGAGGATATGGCAGGGGGCGAGAAGCCTGAAGGGGTGGGGGACGTGAAGATCGGTGTAAGGGGGTAGGTTATCTGAAAAGGAACCAAGGCGGCTTTCGGAGATGGGGGTGGGTACTGTGACCGATAAACCTGGTCATCGTACGGTCACGAGCAACTTGTAGTTGAACAGGGGGTGGGGTCATGACGTTATCCAGATGGAAATAGGGGTGGTAATATAATGAAGGGGTGGTTGTTGAAGGGGTAGGGTAGTTCCGAAGAAGCCGAGATGGATTCGTGTCGCTTCCTTCGCCAAGTCGCACGAAGGAGAGGAGGGGTGATTTCAAGGTTTAAAAGGGGGTAGGGTAGGGAGAGATGCTACTAGTGGATCCGCCTTGGACTATCCCTTGTTATTTCTTGATCTGCTCACCGCTGCTCCTCTTCGTCGTTGTTCTTCCTTCTCCTCCTCCTTCTCCTCCTCCTCCTCCTCCTCCTTCTCCTCCTCCTCCTCCTTCTCCTCCTCCTCCTCCTCCTCCCTTCTCCTCTTCTTCCGTGCTGTTCCCTTGCCTCATCTTCGCTCTTCTCTCATTCTCTCGTTTCCTCTCTTCTCGAACCCTGTCACTATCAACTCCATTCACTTCAGTCCACGATCTCTTGAAGCCATCCCGCCCCTCCTTGATCCTACAGGGCTACGTCAACTCCGCGCTATCATCGGCCTAATCTGTGAGAGTCGCTAGTAACTCCTTTAGCCGCCCTCACAAGGAGCGTTAGCATGAAACTTGAGAGCTCGTCGAGCTTGAGTCAGGTCAACCGGCTGCTCCCCAGCGACGCCGGCATCAGCGCCCTGTGTTACCTTCCTGGTAACGAGTGGTTCTCAATGAGCGCTGTGGAAGGAAAGATGTCGAGGCTGTCAACACCCAAGGACACCCTGAGCAGGAGGAGGAAGGAGGTGGGAAGCGTTCAGTGAGCTGCTGGGAACGCTGCTGACAGCCTAGCAGGCACACGGCGACAACGTGAGGCCCAAGAGCTCGATGGGCTGTCGAACAGCAGGAGGGCTGCACACTAAAGCAAGCGAGGTGTGGAGAAACACGCGGGGTAAGTTGAAGGAACAGGGGTGGAAGTGTAGTGATATGGTCCCAGGGTCTCAGTTTCATGCTCCTCTGCGCGACTCCTTGCAGGAGAATCGGATGAGATCGTTCGACTATCAGGGTCAGGTTGAGTTGCTGCGAAGGCAGATAGCCGACTTGTCTGCGCGTGAGAAGAAGTTGAAAGAGAAACACGACAATCTGTACATCAAGTATTCCCAAGTCTGTCTGGAGAACCGGATGCTTACGGAGCAAGTGTTTGAGCTGGAAGAATTTGTCAAGGACAAGCTGGAGGTGATCGAGCTGGAGAAGGTGATATCAGGCATGCGAGATAAGATTGAGCAGCTCGAGGAGAATCAGGACCATTGGGGGATCAAGGAATACTATGAGATCGAAAGTAGGCTGGCGGAAGGGTTCCGACGTTCTATGGAGACCGTATCTTGCCTTGAGAACGCCTTGACCACGCTTGTGGCAAATCAGAGCTCAATGGTGAGCTCTTCGCACAAGGAATCCGAGATGTTGTGCCAAGTCTTTCAGAAGATGTCGTCACTCGAACATGTGCTGAGGGGCATAACCATCACGAGCAGCTCAAGACAACTGGAAAGCCGAAGAGAGCTTGACGCCTTGTCGGAGTCGAACAAACACCTGCAAGAGATTGTCAAGGTGATCGTGAGGGTTTGAAGGTGCGGCGCTGACTCGTGGGGGCAGGAGTATCGAAGAGCCGATGAAAGTTTCGGTGATGAGATCACGAAGATAGCGAACTTAGACAAGTCCCTCCAGCATCTCCTATCTGAGATTCCAATCTGCTTCGCGCAACGAGTAGACGACAATGTCAAGAACGAGCGCAAGGCGTTAAGATCTTCGCTGCAGGAGCTGCAGGAGCTGCTGGTCAAGGAGCGGGAGGAGAAGGAGGAACTTCAAAGGGCCAATCGTGCGCAGCGGGAGAGGTACTGTGAGAAGGAAGGAATGCTGAAAGAGATGGAGACTGCAATCAAGCGCCTTGAGTTGGACTTGTCCCTGAAAGATCAGTTCTGCAAGAAGCTGGAGCAGGACTATCAGCAGGTGCAGAGCAAGGCTGAGAGCAAGAGTCGGGACCAGGAGGAGCTGGAAAAGAAGTGCGGAGAGTACCAGGAGAGGATCGAGGATATGGAGGAAACGATCCAGGTCCTGTCCTCCAAGAAGTCCAAGGTAGCTGTGGTGACCCCCAAGATCTTTATCTCCCTGCCCGACAGTCAGCCGCAAGACCAGGGCTCCATCGCCCTGCCCAACAGCGTGCTGAAGAAGCTCGTGGCAGCGGAGCTGGGGTACACGCCGGAGGTGAGCTGGAGTGGTGGTTGAGGTAGAGGCTGACGCGACGAGCAGGAGCTGTTTCCGGTGTCCGGCGTCTCGGACTTGAAGAAAGTGCATGAGTTGACAAACATTGCGTAAAGAAACCCTGCCCTCCCTCAGTGCAAGACGGAGCAGAGGATGTGTACAAGAACCACTTGTAGATAAGGACAAGTGGGAAGAAGATGTGATTTGAGAGGTTGGGTTTGCCTGTTGTTGGTATACAGCATATTAAGTGTGTAAACCAAGTTATTGCGCCTTCTCCTTCTCCTTGCTGTGTGCTCTTGTGCGCAAAAGGCTAGCAGGACTTTCACACAAACTCGTCGAAATCCACATCGCCCTGGGGGATGTTCTCATATCTCCGAGCACCTGCTCTAGTGTGAGGAGGAGGAGGAGGAGGATGGAGGAAGCGAGGAAGCGAGGGAGGAGGGAGGGGAGGGGAGGGGAGGGGAGGGGAGGGGAGGGGAGGGGAGGGAGGGAGGGAGGGGAGGGAGGGAGGGGAGGGAGGGAGGAGGGAGGAGCTACAAGGAGCCATAGCAGACAGAGGCCTCCTACTCCCGTGCGCCTTCCGATACCTGTCGGTGAGGTCAGCGAGCAGC